ATTATATTACAACTGAAATAATTATTCGGCACAGGCCTTTATCTGTCTTCTGTTGTCACGTGCACACATGCATGAAGTGGTAGTTCAGATCCCCTTAAAAATCTTCTGTGCTATCCAACTGATTCTGGGTTCCTCTTTCTGATTGAGTTCAGGATTCAACCAGTCCTATTAAATTTCCGTTGGCTTGATGCCACCTGTGCTAGATCCCTCCTTGGGGAGGCCAGTGGCCATTGCTACTGGTATTGTTTGATCCGGGAATACAGATCTGGGACAGTTTTGATGTCCCCCCTTGTTCACGGATGTGCAAAATGGGCAGCACAGTGCTCAGCACAGCTGGGTAACATACACGTGTGTCTCCCAAGGCATGGGTCAACAGGCACAGACATTTTCCCTTTGGCCTTTACAGGAAGAGGGCTAAGAACGGCTTCAGGCTCTCTTTGGACTGCCTTGAAAGCAGTGTGGCTGCTACATTTGAGATAAACTTAGCCTAAATCAAAAAGAGAAGTGGCTGGAGAAACTCAGCCGGTCTGCCAGCATCTGTAGAGAGAAAGAGTTAGCCAAGTTTGAAATGGTTCTCTGTCAGAACTCTGAAAAGTCATTGTTAAGAACATACACGTAGACACACAACAGTATAGCGTAGGAACAGGCCCTTCAGCCCTCCATGTCTGTGCTGACCATACTGCCATTCCAAACTAATCCCATCTGCCTGCAGATGGTCTGTATTCTACTATTCTGTGCCTGTTTGTATGTCTGTCTAAATGCCTCTGAAATATCACATAAGTGTCTGCTTCTACCACCTTCCCTGGCAGTGTCCTAGGCACCTACCGCACTCTGTAAAAGAAAAACTTCAGTCACACATCTCCTTTAAATCCTTGCCCTCCTAGCTGAAACCTGTTCCCCATAGTATTTGATATGTCCATCCCTGGGAAGAAGACGCAACTGTTCATCCTATCCACGTCCCTCATAATTGTATATACTTCTATCAGGCCGCCCCTCAGCCTCCCACACTCTAGCAAAACAATCCAAGTTTTGAAGAAGAGTCGTTTTAGACTCAAAACGTTTCTCTCTCCACGGATGCTGCCAGAGCTGCTGAGTTTCTCCAGCACTAGTTCTGAGGAAGGGTCACCGGACCCAAAACGTTAACTCTCTCCTTTTTTTCCTTCGCACATGCTGCCAGAGCAGCTGAGCTTTTCCAGCAACTTGTGTTTTTGTTCCCCAGCACTTCCTCATTTAATTTCCGATTTGCAGCATCCGCAGTATTTCGCTTTTGTTTAACCTTGCCCTGATGAATGACAGACTCGAAGGGCCTCATCGGCTAACTCCTGTTCCTGTGTTCCCAATCTGCAGTGCCCCTTTATAACAGTGAGGTATCAGTGGAAAAGGGAAGAAGGTTCTGATCTGTTAGGAGTGCTCTCAAGCAGATTCTAATGGTCGTACAAACAGTGCAAACTGATGCATCTTTGATTAAGTGACTGCCTACCGCTGTTCCAATCTTCCACTAACAAGATCGCCACAAAGCACCACATAAAACAATACCTCAGCATGAGTGACATGAGCCACAGAATACAGAGTCCGAGGCTATTACTGGAACTATAATTGGGTAATTTCTGTTCTTCAGTCCAAGATGTTTTAATTCCTTTCGGCTATTCTTGTCCTTCTTGTGAAGTGACTGTCGTGGTGTGTGAGATAATAGGAGAGCAGCTCCAAGTGGTCAACTTTATCACTAGCTAAATACTGCCCACTGTTTAATTATTACCGCCATGAGCAGTGCAGTAAACATTAAGCAGCAAGCAAGGTTCAGCACGAAATGAGCTCTTTGGAAGCACCGCACAAAACCTCGCCTGGTCATTCTACAGCAACGTAAAAACAGATTTATTGTCTCCCTAAATTCCAATAAATGTCCGCCCACAAAGCAGCCTACCCTTGTTTCTGTGGCTGTCACAATCATATTCGAATTCATCATTCTGACCGGAACACGTAGCACGATGAGGGATGAGAGATAGTAGGAACTGCAGATGCTGGAGAATCCGAGACAACAAGGTGCAGGGCTGGATGAACACAGCAGGCCAAGCAGCATCATAGGAGCAGA